GATGATGATAACGATGATAATAATATTCCTAAGAATAACTACAGTAATAATAATAATAATGATAATAATGATTATAGTAATAAAAATGATAATGATAATAATAACAATGATGTAATAAAAAATGATGATACATAAACAAATAATAATAATAAAAATACCTCCTCACACTCATCATATTTTTCATCATCTTTCTCCTCTCCTCATCCCCTTCACCTTCACCTCCATCACTCATCACCTTTTCTCTCCCTCTCTCCCTCTCTCCCTCTCTCCCAGGTGTCGTGGATTCGTCACAGGGACATCCACCTGCTGATAAAAAGGATAATAATAGAAACAATAATAATAATAATAAACATACCTCCTCACACTCATCATCTTTTATCATCATCTTCTCCTTCTCCTTATCCCCCTCACCTTCACCTCCATCACTCACCACCTTCTTCTCTCCCTCTCTCCCTCCCTCTCACCTCCATCGCTTATCACCTTCTCTCCCTCTCTCCCTCTCTCTCACCTCACTCATCACCTTCTCTCCCTCTCTCCCTCTCCCCCAGGTGTCGTGGATTCGTCCTCATCATCTTTTATCATCTTCTCCTTCTCCTCATCCCTCTCACCTCCATCACTCATCACCTTCTCTCCCTCTCTCCCTCTCTCCCAGGTGTCGTGGATTCGTCACAGGGACATCCACCTGCTGATAAGAATGATAATAATAGAAACAATAATAATAATAATAAACATACCTCCTCACACTCATTATCTTTTATCATCTTCTCCTACTCCTTATCCCTTCACCTTTACCTCCATCACTCACCATCTTCTCTCCCTCTCTCCCTCCCTCTCACCTTCACCTCCATCGCTTATCACCTTCTTTCTCTCCCTCTCTCCCAGGTCGTGGTTTGTCGCTCCATCATTTCTCTTTCTCATCTCCTTCACCTTACATCCATTTCACCTTCTTATCTTCTTCTCTCCCTCTCTCCAGGTGTCGTGGATTCGTCACAGGGACATCCACCTGCTGACGGTTGGGACTTACACCTACACTTCTGACCAGCGATTCCGAGCTCTGCATATGGACGACTCCGACGACTGGGTCCTCAAGGTCAAATATGTGCAGGTAAGGAGGCGGGGGGGGGGGGCATTGGTGGGTGAGTGGGGTGAAGGGGTGAGGGGTGAAGGGGTGGTGGGTGGTGGGTGGGGGGTGTTGGAGGGTGTAGTGGTGCTGTGTTGTGTTGTGTTGTGTTGTGTTGTGTTGTGTTGTTTTGTTGTGTCGTGTTGTGTGTGTGTGTGTGTGCGCGCATGTGTGTGTGTGCGTTTATATGAATTGCCACAGATGTAACAAAATAAATCCTTTGGTTTTGTATGTATTTGCATAATGAATAAAAAGGATATAAGTATCCATAATGACTAAAAAAAATCTATTAATTCCAGCGACAGAAAAAAAATAATTATTTCAAGTAAGAAGGTAACATACTTATATTGAAGATTTCTTATCCAAATCATTTTTTTTTTTCTCAGGCACTTAATAAATAAACAGATTTTGTATACATGATGTACCTTGATAAGTCAACAAGAATGTATATATGGAAATATTTGTCTATTACTCAAGTGGTCCTTTTAATCTACATTTAAACATTTCGAAAATACATCCAAACATGTTTTAATTAAAGATCAAATTAAGAAAACATTCTAAAATGCGCGGATAATTATGTAATTTTACAAGATATTCAAGTGCATATATCGATACATGAATTTGTGTATGTCGCACGTGTATAAACATCGTATTTATGTTTGTGTGTGTATAATGCATATCCACGTGTACGTATAATGAACATGTGTAAATACAAACGTACACCTGTCCCTTGCAACACTTAATATAACACATGTCGTATTCTGGGAGAGAAAAAAAAGTAATTAAAATCAAGCCAATCAACACAAAGGATTCAACGAAAAAAAAAAAATTCGCTAATCACATCGATTTGATTAATTGCAAAACTATGATCCCGAAGGCAACGAATTCTGTTTTTTTTTTTTTTTTTTTTTTTTTTTTTTTTGAATGGCCGATATGATTAATGATTAAAAGCAAACACTTTGTCCGTTGATACAAATTCGACAAAGTTGTTTTACTCTCGAAACTTGATAAAAATGGCTCATGTCAAAAGCCTCGGTAATTATTAATTTTGTTGCGTGGTGTCTGTTAGGATGCAAGATGATTTTGAATTACGCGATCGAAGGTGCACATATACGCATTGCACATGCACACACGCACACCACACACACGCACACACACACACACACACACACACACACACACACACACACACACACACACACACAACACACACACACACACACACACACACACACACACACATACAGCACACACACACACACACACACACACACACACACACACACACACACACACACACACACACACACACACACACATACACACACACACACACACACACATACATACATACACATATACATATATATATATATATAT